AATTTGACTGCTGAGTTTAATTTCTCCTACTAGCTCACCTATGAATCTTTCAGTAATCTCATAAGAAGAGGGAAACTGCTACTTCCCCTGTAGAGAATTACTTGAGTTAGTATTTCAGAATCACCAGTGTGTATATTTTCTCCAAAACCTGTCTCTCTCTCTCTCTCTCCACATATATATATATGTATGTATATGTATATTTAATTCCTGACATATTGCAACCCTGTATTGGTTGTAAATATATTTCTGGCATCATTCTTGTGTCTTTCTTCACTTCTGCAGGTATTAGAGGCATAGAGATGAATATGTTTTTTAAAAAAAGAAATATTTTTCCTTTACAGTTTTGCATGTGTTAACATTAGATTCCAGTGGGTATAAAGAATAGATATCACCTTATTGCATTGAATTTTCACTTCAAATTTGGAATTGGATTTGAGGATTTTTACCAAAATACATGACTCTGAAATGCATGAATTTTAAGCTTTGTTTCAATAATTCCTCATTTTTATAGTTATTACTGTCAATAATGAATTTGCTGAAATTTATTTTAATGACTTTCCAAGAACTTATTAGGATTCCAGGATACTTATTGTTTGTACTTCATAAAAATACAATGCCGTCTTTCAACAAACGGGTTTTCCTTTTAACGGTCTGTTTAAGTTCACTTTATGAAGTAACAAAGACATGCATTAAAAGACAGTATTGAATAACTATTGCCAAGTTTCAGTGAACATTTTTTTTTTAGTTTAAATTAGGAATGGAAAGATTTCCTGAACCTAGCATTCATTCTCTTACTGTTCCAGACATCCTCCTCATACTATTCCATCTACAAAGTGATCAAAATCTTGTTCTTTGTCTTCCCTCCCATTATTAAAAATACGTTTCAAAACCTCAGTGTGGTCAGCCTAGACTCTTTCTTCTAACTTCAGGCTGAATTTCATTACGGGCAGTTTAGATCCACTTGTTCTTGGGTTAATACTGCTGTTTTGCTTAAGTAGGTCTTCTACCTCCTCTATGGTGCGGGGTAATACTGCTGTTTTGCTTAAGTAGGTCTTCTACCTCCTCTATGGTGCCTTTGCAGAACGAGATCTTGTTCCCTCCCAGCCTTTATCTTCTGAGGCTGACCAGGCCAAGCTGCTTGGGTCCCTTCTTGTGTGACAGGCTTTCCATTCCCTCGACCATTGTAATTCCCTGCTCTGCACCACTTTGAGGCCAGTTTTCTTCCATGTGGTTAATAAAAACTTGGTGCCGAGCTCCAGGTGAGGTCTTGCTTTGTAAAGCTTTGCAGAACCGCAGTGGTCTTTGTCTAGCAGAAGCTTCAGAAGTAGCTTCTGCGACTTCAGTGGGGTTCTATGGGTTAGCTGTCTTGGACATTTCCATCTGGTGAGTTCCCAGTTTATAGCAGGAATCTAGCTTTTAGCCCTTTTGTTCTTAATTTTGCTTTTTCATTTGAGCTCTGTAGAACTCCTGTAGCTACAGTTCACACAGTTGGCTAATTCTGCCAGTTTTTTATCTCATGAGTTCAGCTGATTGTTTAATAAACTGGTTCCCTTCCGCTTATCAAACTTGCATGTTTGAAGTCCCAAACTTTTATTACAGGCATTTGGCTTATCTCTTATTTCATTTAAACAAACTCAAATAATGGTCTCTCAACCTGTGATTATTTTCTTTGTGCAATTGTATTATAGTTATCATTGTTACTTCCAAAATGAAGCCTAAAAAATCCACAGGCCCTCTTGTTTAAGCAGTACTTTGGTAAGGAAATACAACTGGATCTTGTATCCAGAAATAACTGGGCCCCTGCTTGTTACGAGATCAATTTACCCTGCTATTGGGATTTTATAATTAAAAATGTTATATTCTACTTGGAATTGTGTCCTTTGAATCTCTTCAGTAGCATTACAGATATATCTGTATCTGTATTGGTCTAATTCAGGTAGAACATTTCTTTGGGGAAAAATGGGAAAAAAAGCTCAGAGCCTGCTGTAGGTAGCCCCTTTCCTCTAAACAGATTTTGTATTATTGGTACCATTGCTGGTCATGACAGTGCCTTTCATGTTATTCACTTTCACTTCTTCCTCACTGTTTTCCTTCAGTCTGTACCTTTACTGAATGTAATCACATTCTACTTTTGATTGCATTTGCTCTTATTCCTGTATTTTTTTAGCATTTTGCACTACCAGTTAAAATTCTTTTTTTTTTCTTTTTTTCTTTTTTTTATCATCTGAGGCCTAAGTATTGGTACAGAAACGTTTGACTTGTTTCTCACTGACCACTTCCCTTTTCCTCACTGGATTAGGCTTGGTCCTGTGTTTCTTGCTCTCTGCAATATTAGATTTTTTTTTCTTTCTCACTTTTGACTGTCCTTTTTCACTCGCTGACATTCCTTAGCCCAATGGCATATCTGTAATGCCAGGTATCTTCATGATCAGCTTTAACCCTAGCTCTGTGCCCTGTATCCATTTGAAAGACTGAACACTGCTGTTTTTATCTACATCCAGTCAGAGTACAGGTTTTTCAGTTCCTCTTCTTAGAACAGTCTCTTATCATGTGTTTCCTTGCTTTTCTCAGTGCTGATGTGCAGCTGGTTCCTCTTCCATTCCTTCTCCTGTCTGTGGATCATCCTGCCTTCTGCCACACTTGCAGTCCCTGCCTGTTCCCCGGCTCACTACCCTGTCCCTCAGAATTTGTTTTCCCTTCTTGCAGTGTTTTTCTCTTGTTTCATTTTTCTCCCCTGCTAGCAGGTTTCAATCTGGGCTTACACGGGTCATCCTCATCTAGAGGTTGCTTCCTGGAGCTTCTTCTCTTTTTCTTTTTTCTTTTTCTTTTCTTTCCTTTTTTTTTTTTGCCGCAAATCTGTTCCATGTCACTGTGTCACTCTGTTGAGCTCTGCTGGTAGGTTTCTTGCATAAAAAAATCATCTGTCGAATACCCAGTCAAGGAAAAGGGGCATTTCAGTTTCTCTAGCCCATCGTCTTTGTTAGGTTTGTAATTATTTGGGTCTGCCCCACCGCTGCCATAGTCACCGACATTGTTTGCTCATCCTTGCCCTCAGTCTGCAACAACAAAAGCAGTCAGAAAAGCCTTGCTCTCCCAAAATCCTGGACGGGCTGCCCTCTTTACTGCACTCCAGTGCTGGTTCCAAGGCTGCTGGATCTGTTCCATCGTTACTGGCTTCTTTCTCAAGAAAATACATACTGTAATCAGTCGGTGAATTGCTTAATAGAAAGACTTACATCGAGGAATTGCACACAGTGTAGTAAAAGTTGATGAATTTAACATAGCTTGTTACTGTATTAAAGAAACATCTGACTAAAGTGCATGCCCACCCCCCAAAAACAGTGCAGCAGCATTGTAGAAAAGCCTCTTTAACTACACATATTAACAGAAGTACATTGAAGTTGCAATTTCAAACAATGCTTTATTTTCCTGAAAAAATTGAAGATGTTTCTATATTTTTTTTTCAGTTGAAGCTCTGTGATTAAAAGGTTTCTTTTATATAGCTGATTCTAGTAAAATAAATCTGCATAGTACTTTTGAGCCTGAAAAAATACAGACAATGTTCGGAATAGTTTCTTATCATTTCTGCGAATAATTTACACTGGTTGTTTGGGGATTTATTAAATCATTGTTTTAGTAGAACTTATTTGCTGGTGGATTCACGGTTTATGTTTTTACTGTATCTCAGGATCAAGTTGTTTTCTTTTCACGATAGACGAGCATGGTTTAAAGCTTTTGAAAAAAATAGTAGATGATCCTTTCTCTCTCTCTAGCAAAATCTATTAGAGTATTGATTATTTCAGTCTGACAGTTGAATAAGAGACCGGAATTTCTATTATCATTTCAGATGTTTTCTGTCAGTAAGTATGAAATTAAGTAAATTTTAATTAAGTTACAGTTGCTATTTGTTGAGCTTTTGCTGTTCCTATTTTTTTTTCTCAGTTACTCTTACTGTTTTCCAGGAATTCTGGAACTAAGAAATGTCTTACTTAGAATTTGAAAACATAGAGCCTTCAATTCACTGAGTTTGTTTTTAAGTTTGGAAGAGCAGTAGAATAGAGGTTTCTAATTTTTTACCCTATGTGCTATCTTGTAAACATGTTTAATATAATTTAATTGCACATCATGGAGCAAAAAGCCACAAACTGTAATTGCAGATACATTATTGCTACATTAAACAAACAAACATTGCCATCCAAAAGAGTGATTTTAATAACAAATCTAAAAAGGAAGGAAGGAACAAGTAACTAAATAGTAAAAATTGAATTTCTTGAAATGCAGAAATTACGTAATAGTTTGTTGACATTCTCCTCGGCACTTGAATTAAACATATCTGCTTTTTATTCTTACTGTGTTTTGTGAAAGTAATAAGTTCCTCGTTTCCTATCGTTTTCCGATTAACTTGGTGTTCACACTAAGAATGCCAAGCCTTGACCTTTCTCTCATTTTCTGCGTTTCCTTTTCCAGCTGTTTCCTCACAAACGCTTTTTGCTTCAGTCTGTCTGTTTAGTCCTCCTCTCGTCCCCGTCCGTCTCCCACCCTCTTCGCCCCCAGCTGCGGACCCACCACTCAGGCGACGCTCAGCGCCGGGCAAGGCCATCACAGCCTTAAGGCCCCATCCCGGTCTCGTCCCTCTTCTGTCACCAGCACCAGTTGCGGCAAACTCAAATGGGTCTTTAATGACTTCTGTTTTCCTTCGTGCAATGAAAAATAATAAAGAGGGCAGGGAAAGAACCAGGAGACTAGTAATGCTGACACAGGTATCAGAAGTACCAGGTGAAATGCAGACAGGTATCGTATCAGCAAAGCTCCGTCTCGTTTATGTTAAAGAGGCCAGTTCCCTCATGATGTAAAATGATGCAGCTTCTCCGGTCCGGAGCAGGTCTGCAATAATTTCTACCATCTGAGGGCAGTGAGTAACGGTTCTGGTGAAGGACTCTGTGCTGAGCTGACTTAACGGAGTTGCTGGCGGACAGTGCACGCGCATGGCCAGCACTGAGGGGACAGTGACACGCACTTACTGCAGCCCTGACTCGCGGTGTGGGCAAGAGTCAGTGCTGTGTGAGAAGAGGAGCTCTTCTTCCAGACACTGGGTATGGAAAAATGGTTTTGAGTGTGGTGGCGGAGATGGCTGCCCTCTCACTCAGAGGAAATATTAGTGTTTGGGGAAGTTGGGTTTTGGGGGAGGGAGTTACTGGGCTACAGGGCTCCTGTCTTACCCTTCTGGACATGAAATCCCTGGGTATGTCCCTAATCTCTCCCATCTAAGAACCACGGCGATAGCATATGCTGGCTGTGTGTTTTTATCCAAGCAAGTTATCAGCAGAAAGTACATAATATCTCAATTTTCTTGTGGTTCTACAGGTTATATTTAGAACCATATATGTATATGATTGCCTATTTTGAGATTTAACACTGCTCTTTTAGATTAGTGTCTTTAGATTAACACTGCTCTTAGTAACTGGTGTTACTGCCTCCTTACATTAGGAGTCTTGTATTGCACTTTTTTTTTTCCTCACTTGTCCTTTCCTGAGCAAAACCCCTTTTTTCTCTCCAGCTGAGTTTCTTCAGTAGATCCTAATGATACAGTCCATGATTCTTCCCAGTAGCTGGTGTTTTTTCATGTTGACCACAGCGAATTAAATTATAGTATTCGCAGTGATGAGAAAACAACACTGCTCTTGACATATGTGCTTTTGCTGGGCATGTTGGCGCTCGTATCTCTGTGGAGACTGGCTTGAGGCCATTCTTTAGTAGTTAGTAGTGACAGAAGTTACATTCATTTTCTCATTGCCCTGTAACAGGTAACTTGACTGTACCTCTGTATTCTCTAGGCTTTTTTTTTTCTTCCTAACCTTCAATTTTCTCCCTGTCTAGGAGCAGCAGCACTGGTCTTTTAGTGCAGGTGTGTTTATAATGTGGATATTAGATGTGTTATTTGACTTTCCTGTTCTTTGCAGCTCTAGCTCTTTACTTTTCTCATCAGTTTCACCCAGAGAACAAGGATTTTAATACTAAAGATTAATTATTAAAATCTTAATTTAAGAGCTTTTCTGAGTATCATGATTCTTTTGATCAGAGCTCTCTGGCTAATAGAAATACATAAAACTGAGAAAAAATGCAGCTCCCTCCAGAAAATGTCTCCATGCCTGCTACACTCCTGGGAGCCAGTGTTGAAATGGGGTGTGGTGAAGGCCTGTGCTGTCTTGGCCTGGCTTTGGAGAGTAGTTTTTCATTGGAATGAGTTGCTGGTAGGTAACTGAAGATCAGAAAGGAGAGGGAATGCATTCCCAGTGATGAATGTGGCTTACATGTGGTGCGATTTGCCCAACACCTTTCAGGGAGGGCTGCTCCAGCTCCGTGAAGCTGCACCGCTCCCGAGTGCCTTACGGAAGAGCCAGCGCTGGCTGCTGTCGTCACGGACTCGCGCGTCCGACAGGGAAAGGCACCGTGTTGCTCCTGTGAAGTCCTTGTGTGGGCACCTGCCACTGGCAGCTGCTCTTCCTCCTCTCCCACTGGCATCTCCTTTTCTTCTTGGAAAAGGCTGAATCATTTTCACCCATTCAGCAGCGTGAACCACAAAGCTGGACAAGATAAGCTGCCTGAAAACCTCTTCTTAACCCAGAGACATAAAATGAATTTTCAAGTTGCCTCTTCTCCCCCAGAAGGGTTCGTCTGCCCGTTCCTTCTGT